ACTTTACTTAAACATCTAATTAACTTTACTGCTGCTCTGATTTTTAAATTTAATTTACAAGGTAAAATACGTTATGAATAATATTTCAAAGTTGTATTGGAAAATTGATGTTAATATCAACATTGAATGAATCAAAATGGCCACATTAATTAAATCAAATTTTAACAATTTTTTAACCTTCGAATTGTAGTTTCAGAGTTTTACTTTCAATATTTTTTAACTCTAATGCTAATTTATATATTTGATAACCTGTCATTTACTCAAGGAGTTACAGTGAAAAAATACAAGTCTTTGCTATAGATAAAACTGAAAAATTATAAATTTAAGTTTAATACAAATAAGTCTTACCCGTATCACCTGGACCATTAATGAAAATAATTTTTTGCTTATTTTCACATCTTTATCGTATGATATGGTACAAATTTCAAGTATGCTTGTGTTATACGTGTCATCATTTATGTCATTGTTTCTCCACTATTGTTTAAAGTTATAGGTAAAACAACATTTTTATGTCTTGTTTCACTACTCAAAAAATGCTTAAATAGGTTCTTTATTTATTATTAATAATTGTGAGAAGTTATTTTATTACTTATTTCAAATTTCGCTCATTAGAGTATTTTTCAATAGTACAAAAATGCCGAAAAAATTTCGTAGTTGAAGTGAACTAATAACAGTAATAGTTTAATTGAATATTTTATCAAATCTAGAATTTTGCTCTATTAAATCCACGCTAGATTTCAAGTAACGACTTTTTAATTTACCCATCTTACGCCATACTACCAATTAAATGTTTATAATATCCCATGAGCATAATCATGTATTCCAAGGCTCGTGGAACTGACAGTGATAAATAACAAAACGACTTACGGACACATCATTTATTAATGTGTTCTAATTTTATAAAAATAGAATAGTTATATCATAAAAAAATAATAGAGGTCAACTAAGTACGTGCTCCTTGAGTCCACTGTAATTACAGAGGGACTACACTGTCTTGGAACAGTTCTGAATTTGTGCTTCGTGAATCGTAAAGGTGTAGAAATATGACTAGAGAAAGTTACAAGGTTCAAAAAACGTGGTATTTATAGTTATGAAACTAAGAGCTTCCTGCAAAACTTTATATTAGACCGTATTAAGATTTTAGTTAAGTGGTGTACTGACACGCATCAAGAGCAATGTTGTTATTTTATTTATTTGAATTTATTTATTCATACAGTATAATAATTCATTTATCAAGTATCAATCAATTACTTATTGAAATCAATTGATTTATTAAGTATAAAGTAAAATAATATTTATTTTAGTACAAAGTTAAATAATATTTATTTATTTCTTCCAAGTACAAATCATTAACAATTTTTATACTTCCCAACATCCGTAATATCACTTAACATACATAAATTTCTCTTTTACGTATCTCTTTAATTATACACACACACACACACACACACACTTTTTTTCTTCAATACAAACAGATCTCGTTTATGTTTTGACACTTTTGCTATTTCATAGTAATAAAACTCCCTTGATTTGGTTTTTTTATCACCAAACTTACTTAAATAGTAATAATTTGCGAATTTTACCAAGTGATAAATCTTTAATCTAATATCGTTTCCTTTGTAGCTGACCTTATTAATTTTTCAAATTCTCTGCTGTATAGGCACATTTCCACCTTTAATTTTCTTTTTAAAAATTCTTTTGTCCTCAGAATTGATTCGTTCTCCTTATCTTTTCATCCTTAATTTTCTATCTTTTTCACTAGCTCCTTCTCGATCTTTGCCCTGGTTACTCCGCAGTTCCACGCATGGGCTAGATTTTCTTCTTTGTCTTTACATAATGTGCATTGTGTGTCACTAAATCTCTTGTTTTGACCATTAACTACATTACCGCATCTCATTATTGCTTATTATTCCTTACAGTAACCCTCCACTACCTTATTCCAGTATTTTTCTTGTAAAAATCTTGCTCTAGGTATTTATAATTTATACTATAAGAAAAATTGTCAACCTTACCGCAGTCTCGTTGTATGTCTTGTTCTAGCCTAATTATAGTGTTTAAGCTACCTACCTATTCCTGTATTTTTGCAAGATTTCTACTAGGTATGCCCCTGCTCTTTTATTTGACTCAATGTGCCGACCCTCTTTTCCTGGTTCTGGTCTCTATCTACAATCTGGTGTATTTCTGCTTATTCCCATTGCCGCCTTTACATATCTTGCTTGTACCTTCTCAACTTTTTCAATTCTAACCCAGATGAATTCTAACCTCTAATATGATACCTGAAGTTGTGCCTCTCAGCAAACCAGAATCATAAATATTTATACTCCTTGACTACTTGTAATTCGTTTCCTTTGTATTTTCATTTCTTATTCCACTTCAACCTCTCTCCGTTTCTAAAAACTATAATTTTGGTCTCTTTTATGTTAATCTCTACTTTATTTTTAGTACCATATTATTCTAGCCCGTTAATCAGTCCCGGTATGCTTACTTTATCCTCCACCATCACTACATCGTCCGCCTATTTTAAGCAGAATATTTTTTGCCCTCCTCTTACTGTTCCCCCTACATTTTTCTCCAACTAGTAATTTTCAAGGTTATCTATGAAGACGTTAAAAAGCGTTGGGCTCAGAGGGAACCTTTGTCCAACTCTTTTGCTTGTCGTGAAGCTGTTTGATATTCCTGACCATGTGATTACCTCGTTATTTGTTTTAGATGTATGTAGTATTTTTCCCGTGATTCCCTTCTTCATTAATTTTTTAAACAAAATTTTTCTATTTACTACGTCAAACGCGGTCTTGAAGTCTATAAACATAGCGTAGATTTTCCCTCTTTTATTGTTTAATTTGTTCCCTATAATACTATTTAAAATAAAAATCTGATCATTTGTCTCTCTTTTCCCTTTAAAATCTGCCTGACTTTCTTTAATTTTAGCTTTTTTTCTACCCACCCTCTCAGCCTTCCTGCTATTTTCCACCTTATCAAAAATTTCGTTTATGATCTTTGTTAATTTCATCTTCTAGTCCATGGGTAACTATTTAAAAAATCCTATCACGATCACGTCTTCTCCAGCTGTCTTCCCCTTTTTCATTTTCTCGAGTGCCATCATAACTTCTACAATCTTGATCTCTTTATTCAATTATTCAAGTTCATCATTCTCATTTTCTAGGGCTACCCCTTTATGTACCGCTTCTTCCTCCCCTTATACCCACTATTTGAACTATTCCCCGCTCCCAACAAATTCTTAAAATGTTCTCTATATTCCTCTTATCTTATTTCTTTCTTTTTCACCTGTTTTCTTGGTCTAAAAATTGTTATTGCATTCCAGAAACCTCTTGTTCCCTTGTTCTTCTCAATCATTCTTAATTTTTCCTCCTCCCACTTTTTTGTGTGTCTTTTTTCATCCACGAATGCGCTTTCTTTTCTTTTGTATACTTACTTCAGTTGTATTTTTTGACCTAAACCACTTTTTGAAAAGCCTTCAAACCTTTTTTTTGGCTCCCTACCTTCCTTTTCCCCAAAACTAGAGCTTTTTGTACTCCTGCTTTCGAATTTAACCATCTCTAGCTCGTCAGCTACTTCCCATATGTTTTTTGGTACAAAGTCCTACTTTTTTGCGCATATTTTTCTGTAAAACTTATACTATCTGCCCTCTTTTCTATCGCCTCCTGATATTTCATCACTTTTTTTTCATCCTACTTTAGCTTTTGCCTTTTCGTGTTTATTTTATTTTCTTCCTTAGCCTTTAACCCATTATTTTCTTTTCCTATTCTTATAGCAACAAGTAAGTAGTCCGATTTAATTTTGGACATAACCTTTAAATCTTTTATACAACTATCTTTACCTTTGTCCAATTCTAAAACTTGTTCAAGTACACAGTTACCACCCTCCCTGATGTAAGTAGACTTCTCCTCCAAATCTCCTTTGGTACATCCATTTTTTATGACAAAACCGTAGTTATTACAAAATTCCAATAATTTTTTCCCCTAAGCATTTAATACTTCGTACTTAGAATTTCTTTTATCACTTATTTCATTAATATTTACTGACTGTTCACAGCCTATTCTTGCATTTTAGTCTCCTGTTATTATTATTTTTTTCACACTCTGAGGGTCATCCTCGATTATATTCGATAAAGCATTTATCACAACACTTATGCCCACGTAATTATATACAGTTATAATAAGCAGTCTATTATTTTTCTCAATCTTTATTCCCTTAATTATCAACCTATGATTCTTTTGCTCTACAATTTTTTTCCTTTGTTAATTTTTTCTTATTATTATTAGTATCCCTTCCTTAGCCCTACCTTTGTTGTGCTCTCTTGTTGTAGCTTTGAATTTCCATTCATAGTTTCTATCTAATTTAGTTGCCATTCAGCTTTCTTTATTTTTTTCTACCCAAGTTTCCAGCAGCATAATCAATTAAAAGTTTCACATTTCATACATTTTACTTACCCCTGCTATATTCCGTAACACCACCTTAAAAGTACTGCTACCCGTTAATTGGTTCTTCTTCTTCACTGGCTGCTCCTCTTTTCTCAAGAAAAAAATTATTCTCCTACATCTTGAGATCACTTTCCAATTCATCCCAGCTAAACTACTGGTTATTTATCCTTACTTTTAGGTATCCTACATAAATTTCTTCTCCGTACACTTTGGCTTCATTTTTCAACTTGATCAGCTACGCCTGTACTTCTTTCTCCCTCCACGTATAGTCATCTTCCATCCACACTTTTGATCAGATTAATCTTATTTTCCTTTTTATTATTGCTACTTTATATTCTAGGTTTCCTGTTTTCACTATCCAGCTTCCCCCGATGAATCTCATGTTTTTATTCTTATTTGAACTCCCGTACTTCTGCCAATCACCTTCGTGAATTCTTCTCGAATACCTCTTCCAACTGTTTTAATCCCTCTAACAAATGTACTACTCTTTCTTTTCTTTCTCTATTCCATTTCGTATTTTAATTTCTGCTTCGTCATTGCCTCCAGTTTGTCCTCCTTTACCTCTTCCATGTAGTTCTATACTTTTTGCGCCACGTTTTCATACATATTTTTCTCGTGCCCCTCTTGTTTACTCTTCTCTATTTGCTGTACTCTCTCTTTACCCTGCAGGGGTCCCTTTTCTTGTTATTTGTTACCCCATTCTTGTTCGTTTAACGCCTTCTCCGCCGTGTTTAGTATTTCCTGTAAGTTTTTAGTTATTGTAATGAGTTCTTTTTTACTATTCTTCGCTGCTGATTTTATTTTTTTCACTTCGTTTTTATAGCCATCCCTTTCTTGTAGCAATGCTTTTGTCAACCCTTCCTGTCTTTTTACTCTTTTACTCAATATTGCGCAGACTTAACGATTGTCGTTGCACCTTTTTTACATTTCTGACTCTGCCAATTGTATATCTTTGTTGCTCACCATATCAGTGCTGTCTAGTTCTCCTGCACCGTTTTGATTTCTCTCCATTTTTTGTGCCACCCTCTGTACCTCATCAACCGTTTCTTTTTTCTCTTCTTCCTTACAGACTGTCCGACATATTCTCTCCAGTAATAAGTTCGATTACCCTGCCTATTTTTTTTTGGACACACTGCTAACATTTATTTTTTCCGATTCCTTTCATGCTGTTATGTTTCTACTTGCGCTAAAAACCTCAATCGTCCGGGCATTGAAGTCACTACCATCATTCTCCAAATCATCTGTTAGCTCTGAAATATTTTTTTCATCGAGATCTCCTCTTGCCCCCACTAGACTTCCCTTCTCTCTGAACAGCGGAAATAATTCTATTCTAGCCGACTGCCCTTTAAAATACCTTTTAAGCCCTTTTACCTCTTGTCTGCTAGGATCCTCTTTTTAAGGCCTACCTCTCTTTCCATTTTCAACCAATTTTTCATTGCACTCCCAGTTAGTCATTTATTTTATTTCTCCACTCTTCTATCCTTTTTTCCCACTATTACCTCCAGGCTTCTGTCTAACCTCACTTTTCACTTATTCCGTGCTCTTCCTTCCTGTCTTTACTCAGCAAAGCCTACACCTTCACTCGACTTAACATTTCCTCGCTTTCTTTAGTGTACCCTTCTCATTTTTTGCTATCACTTTGTTCATTTAGTGACTCTGGGTACTACTAAAACTCACTTTAACGCGGACCCTCTATACTTTACGTCCGACCGCTCAGGTGACCCCAAAAATTATGTAATTTTTTCTTCGAAGGGAAAAATGGTTTATTATCTTAACATCAATTAAATCATAATAGGCAAAATAATATTAAAAAAGGAAACATCAGCATAAAAAAAAATTGATAGTGTCTGTAGTATATAAAGCATTTAACAAAAATTGCGAAATTTTCAAGCCCTAATTAAGATTATTTAAATTCAATGTTCAGAATTTTTTAAAGTAAAACTTCTTATGTTGGGCTGTGAACAGCCGCGTATGGGGAAATGCGTCACGAAAAAACGTAGCCACCCACCCTGCAATCCAAGTCCTCTCCTCAATCTCCTCTCTTACACACTCTTTTCCACTCCGTCTTTCTCTCTCTCCCTCTCTCTCTCTCTCTCATAGCGCGCTCCACTTTACTGTCTACCGCTCCGTCTCTCTTTCGCATGTACGCTGCGCGCTCCTTTCTCCTCACGCTGCTACTATACCTATATATACATATTTGTTATAGGTGTGTCGTATGTATGTTTCTACCTTAGAGCATATATATCTGGAAGCAGCATCGTATATACTGGTTGCGAGACCAGGTGCGAGAGAGAGAAAGTGTCCGAGTTCCAGTACATCCTGTATCTCTCGCACACGCTTCGTGATTGGTCACAGCTGGAACAGGAGCGACAAAAATGTTTGAGAAGCGTGTATGAGAGAGACAGGGTGCACTGGAACTCGGACCATCTCTCTCGCAACCAGTATATACGATGCTGCCTCTAGGTATATATGCTCCAAGGATTCTACGCTACAACTAAACCAATGCGCTTGCTCAAGCCAAGGTATAGGTATGGAGAAAAGATAAAAGGAAGAGCAAAACAGCTGTACATACCTATACTAGAGGCAAAGTATACGTATCTATATTTTATACATATATGGGTGTTGCATGTCCCGGTCATTACATACATGTTCATGTGTATACCTGTATGTAAGAAAACGTGCATAAAGTATTAAATATATAATATGACAACTTATGAAAACAAGAAAAAACGTTGCACCTCAAAAGGGAAGTCAAATTGGCTAAAAATAACAATTTTTACGGGTTTCCAACAGGAAACTACTTGATCAGGGTACACAAACATAGAGGGGTTGGACTATGCACAAACATGACCTTAATTATTTCCTTTTTCAACTGTATCTTGAAAAAAACGAGTAAAAAAAATGTTTTTTCTCACGCCGTGTTTGAAAAATTAAAATGGACATTTAAAAAATCTTTGAAAAATTTTTTGCACAACATAACCTTTCAAAATTCGAAAAACAGTCAAATCTTGAAAAAGAAGCTAGTTAGACCCAAAATAACTATTATTACACGTTTTCTAAAGGGAAACTACACGATCAACGCGCACTAATGGAAGAGGATTGGACTATGCACAAACATTACTTCAATTTTTTTATTTAGTATGGCATACCTGGAACCTTAACACGCATACTGACAAAATCTTCAAAGAATTTTTATTACACCATAACCTCTCAAACTAAGAAAAACATTTGTATCTCGAAAAGGATGCTAAATAAGCCAAAAAAAATTCCACGTATAAAAAATAATTATTGAGGTGCAAAAATATATGATACACGGATTCATACAAACCGTTATGATAATTCTAAAAATAATAAGTCATACCTCAAAGGAAAACCTACATCATACATATCCTAGCTATAAATTAATTCGTTTTCTATTCTCTACCATGTATTATAAAAATAATGGTCACATGACCAAAACCTATATTCTTATTAATAATTTTGAGATAAGTAGAAATTAGTTATAAGCACGGGTAAATTTAAATATTAATTTATAATCATGGAAAACAAATTGCAATAGCCATTTTAACAATTTTTAATCGCTACTATAAAATGATGCATTATTTCGAAGTCAACTACTAATACCGATTGAAATGAACGCCGATTTACCGCTGAATCATTACACATTCAACATGGGATCAATGCAGAATCAACGATGTAATTGACGACTGATTTCAGCATTGATATTCTTGCTAGGCATATTACACAGCTATTTGGAGTATACAAAATTGGAAAAAAAGTTTTTTTCTAACACTTGAATCATGTATTCTTTGTATAGGATTACCTTTTTTTTTGTTCAATGTCAACAGTCTCCTTCAACAATCATAACTAATAATGTGATACATAAAAGGTAGAAACCATCAAGACTTAATATTTACGATTTCATGTAATTCACTAAATCAACGTAAAAATACAATTTTTTTATCTTATGTTATGAGAAAAAATATACAATGAAATAGAAATCAAAGATTTAATAATAAAAAATTAATAAAAACCGTTAAAAAATTGAAAAAAGCGAAAATTACTTATTTTTAAAGGCTGTAGAAGATCTATGAAAAAATTTTTTTTGTATTCATATCCATGGATTCACTTAGTTTTATATATCAAGAATAAATAATCACTACGGGAAATTTTTAATTTAAAATTAAGAAAATTGTATTTTGGCCAGCTTTTTTGCAGTTCTCACTGTGCGACGATTTAATGACTTTTTAAATAAAACCTCTATGCTGGCTTTAAACTTTTATTCTTTTAACTGACTCCTCACTTTACTTTCGATGCAGAGACGAAAGAACTAGTGTTTATTATAACGTAGAAGACTTACAATGCATCAAAGAAAATCAATAAGAAGATCTATAAGAGAGGTTACTGAAAACGCAATACGCTACTGACTGAGAACTGACATTATATGTGTGGTATCAAGCTCCTTGAAAAATTA